GGCCTCTCCCGTTGCGGAGCAGCAGGCTCCGGACGCGCAGGCTCAGCGGCCATGGCTCACGGGCCCAGCCGCTCCGCGGCATGTGGGATCTTCCCGGACCGGGGCACGAACCCGTGTCCCCTGCATCGGCAGGTGGACTCTCAACCACTGCGCCACCAGGGAAGCCCTGTGTTGTTTTTTTTAATAAAATTTTGACCTGCCTAACTCCCATGATGAGACACTGCAGACACTGTATATTACAAGTGAGTGAGGCCATGGCATTGGCTGGGATGAAAACAAAGACCATGAAGTAATGAATAATTTCCTACTTATTCAAGGAAGATGTGCAGAGTGCCTGCCCTGTGGCATATACAGTGCTGGGAGCTGAAATTACAGCAGAGAAAAAGAAAAGACACGATCCTTTCCCATACAGAGCTATCCTCCTGTAAATTTTTGGCAGAATTCATGAATTTGGGTAGTTTTTAAATATTAAGACTTTATTTTGTTAGAGCCATTTAAATTAAGAAGAAGGTACAGGGACCTCCCTGTTGGCGCAGTGGTTAAGAATCCGCCTGCCAATGCAGGGGACGTGGGTTTGAGCCCTGGTTCCGGAAGATTCCACATGCCACGGAGCAGCTAAGCCCGTGTGCCACAACTACTAAGCCTGCGCTCTAGAGCCTGCGAGCCACAACTACTGAGCCCACACGCCACAACTACTGAAGCCTGCACAGCTAGAGTCCATGCTCCACAACGAGAGAAACCTGCACACCGCAACGAAGAGTAGCCCCCGCTTGCAGCAATTAGAGAAAGCCCGTGCGCAGCAGCAAAGACTCAATGTAGCCAAAAATAAATAAATAAATTTAAAGAAAAGAGGAAGGTACAGAGAGTTCCCATATACTCCCTGACACCATACATGTATAGCCTCCTCTATCATCAACATCTCCCATCACAGTGGTACATTTATTACAACTGATGACGCTGCATCAACACAAAATAATCACCCAAAGTCCATAGTTTACGTTAGGGTTCACTCTTGGGCTTGTACGTTCTATGGGTTGAGACAAATTTGTAATGATAGGTAGCCATCATTATATGATCATACAGAGTATTTTTTACTGTCCTAAATATCTTCTATGCTCGGCCTATTCATCCCTCTCTCTTGGGTATATAATAAATGCTCAATTAAATTTTGTTGATGTAATTCGCTAAAGCCAAAAGACAATGACATTTTGTGATATAGGTAGAGTTGGGTTTGCTTTTGGATGTGTGACTCTCCTAAAGCAATTAGTTTCGAGAGGTGTTGTTTCCAACAAAGACCTTAAAAAATATTACACAGCTTATGGTAATTTGGGAAAACTTTACTCATTCTTCTAATTCATCTCCCCTGAGGACTACTTCCCTCACACTTCCACTTCCTTCACTGGTGTGGAATTTGGTCAGAGAGACAGAGTACTTTCCCTGTAAAGGACACCCTAAGCCAAGTCTTTTGCTTGAGTTTGCGATTGAGCACGTGATTTCTTAGGAAGTTATAGACGAGAGAATTATGGTGTTGGGAAGTCAGGCACTCAAGCAACAGGGATTCAGTTTAAATGAATTGATAACTGGGATCCCTTGAAACTTGTTATCTTTTAGACTTCCCCTGGCTTCTGTGACTAGAGGTAGATAGATGGTGACTCTCAATATCATCTTCCTTCCTTTCTTCTCAATCCCACCTTCACTGGTTCAGTGATCACATAGCCGATTCCTTCATTAATCAAATATTTAGGGCTTTCCTGGTGGCGCAGTGGTTGAGAGTCCGCCTGCCAGTGCAGGGGACACGGGTTCGTGCCCCGGTCCGGGAAGATCCCACATGCCGCGGAGTGGCTGCCATGGCCGCTGGGCCTGCGCGTCCGGAGCCTGTGCTCCGCAACGGGAGAGGCCACGGCAGTGAGAGGCCCGCGTACCACAAAAAAAAAAAAAGATTTACTGTGCTTACACTATATATTAAGCACTATGCTAAGTGCTAAGCATTTAGATATGAATAAATTGTCATCCCTCTCTTATGAATGCTGTCTTCCAGTGGAGGATTACATAAGGAGGCAAGAAATTTCAATAGATTATGGCAGATGGGATGGTGGTGCAGAAACAGGGCTGGACCACAAAGCAAGGCTTCTATCTCCTTTAGGAGCCAGAGAGCACAGAAGATGAGCTGTCTGAGCTGAGGCCTGAAGGACAAATAAATGTCAGCTAGGCAAAGTGGAGGTGAGGTTTGGGGTGCGTTTTAGCCAGAGGCAACAGCATACAGAGACCTGGGGATTAGCAAGAGCATGGTAATTACAGGAGACAGCAAAGAGTGGATGAAGCCTGGTGTGTAAAGTTGGATGTGGATGTAGCAAGAGCCGAGGTTGGAAAAACATACAGAAGGCAAATCTTGGCAGCCTTGTAAGTTCCCTAAGTAACTGGAACTAGTACAGTGCTGGGAACATTGGGACATCTTTGTTGAAAGGCTGAATGGATCAATGAACTTTATTCTGAGGGCAACGAGGAGTCCTTAGTTGATTTTGAATCACCTTCTGATTTTTGTTAGGTAACCACTTGATTGAGGCAAACAAATGATTCGCCCAGTGTGGAAACTTGACCCAACAAGAACAGTCTTTCTCCATGTTTTGCAGTCAGTGGGACTCTGGGGAATGAGAAGGAGACAGATAGAAGGGGATTCATCCTTGGGAGGAGGCTAAATAAGGCAGGTCTATGCCAAAGCAGAAGAAATGCAGAGACCATCAAGTCATAGGTAAACAACTGAATGGAACACGTGTGGTTTAAGCTTTCAGAGAATGGAGCTCTAGTCCTGTCTCTGTCCCTTACCATCTATGGACTTTTTAAGACCCAGTTTCTTCTTGTGGAAAATGGGTCATAACATTCTGGCACATGGCTGTTGTCACTATGTAATGCCTTCATATATAATGTCTATATACATTGCATATATAATGCCTTGTACAGTGTCCATACTTCTGTTTGGCTACTCAGAACAGATCATTTCAGGTAAGGAGCCATCACATAATTTGGGTATTTTGTAAAATATCACTAAGAATAATTCTATCGACTGAGTGCTTATACTGTTTCAGGCACTGTTCTAAGGATTTGCAGTGAGAATTGATTTAATCCTTCCAAAGACCCTTTGAGATAGGGAATTCTATTATCTTTATTTTACAAAGGAGAAAATGGAAGTACAGAGGGAGAAGATCTAAGTTCACATGAGACTGTATTGCCAGAAGTGACAGAGCTGGGAATCAAACCCAGGCTGTCTGCTCCAGAGCACAGATTGAAATGCTTTCTTATTATATTAAAAAAAAACAAAAAACAAAACAGACATATTATAAATATCAAAACGCCACATGTGAAGTTTTTGGATCGGGCAACCCTGATCTGATGTTACATGGGATTATAAACTAAAGTCTCAAGGAAGTTATCTTTTGGAACAATCTTAAATCATCTTATTTAGCCTCCTAATACTCAGATCAGAAATAGTCCTATTTTGTGTAGATTGCTAGACAATTAAACTACTGTTTTGCCTAAGCCTGTGTTTGAGTCACACAGGTTTATCTGGAATAAGTCGTGGCACTGCAGAAACATTTTTTATTATCTAGCTAAGAATCACCTTCTATACACAAAGAAAAACAGGGCTCTGTTTGATGTGAAGAAACGTGGCAAAGTGTCTGGGATCTGTTCATGGAAATGATTTCGTAACAGAAAATATATCTGGGGCAATGGAGTTTGGTAAGTAGGAAAGGATATTCAGGTTTGAGGTAGTTTTCATCACTGAACTCATTAGACAGTTTGGTTGTATTTAACAGAAATAATCAAACTTGTTTAGATAATTAAGGGACTTTACTGATGGACATATCCAAAAGTCAGAGGTAAGGCCAGGGTTTCTGTAGCCAGAGCTCAATATCATGAGCAAAGGTCTATTTTCTGTCTGTTTCTTCACTCTGCTTTCTACGTGTTTGTTACCATCTTAGCATATAAGATGGATATAAGATAGCAGCCAGACGCTCTAGGTCTGCAAGTTCATTTATAAGTGGGGACAGGAAGAACTTCACTCTCATTAGGGCTCCTTAAAATGTGAGAAAGCTTCCCTCCCAGAAGCTTCATTCTCAGCTTATGTCTCCTTGCATCTCATTGGCTTAAATGGTGTCACATGACCTTTTCTAAACCAACTGTGCTGCCTGGTAGATGGGCTTCACAGATTAGCATACACCAATCAAAGTCTACCTCTGGAGTCGGAGGTGAGTCAGTCCTACCCAAAATGCATAGCTAAGAATGGCAGAGTTGGTTCTCCAAAGGAAATCTGTGGAACTGTTACCCTCAAGAAAGAGAAATGGGTGGTAAATGGTAAACCAAGTTATACACAGTCATCTCTGTCTAGGAGAGAGTCTAAGCTTGCAAGTTCAAAGCACTGTCTTAAAGCAGGTTATGGAAATCCAAACATTTACACTAAGAAGGAAGTTTTCATCAATTGGATTATAAAATCTGGGTTCACTCAGCATGATTGGATCATCTGGCCCATAGCTATCTGGAGGTCATTCTCAGAGCTTAGAGGAATATCAAAGTGGGAATGTTTTATTTCCCAGGGAAACTGATCTGGGAGAGAAGTCACCTTGTCTAAGCCCCCCAAGGTGATAAACCAAAGCAGGCATGAGAATAACACTCTTCCTTGCTGTCTTAAGAAAGCACACAGAGATTAAGTGAGGTTTCAACTAGTCATGACAAGCGCCAAACTATTCAAGAGATTACCCAAACAATTTAGCTAATTCCCCTGATTATTTCAAACATTAACTCACAAATAAGGCAGGACAAGAGTTAAGTAGAGGCACACACATGCACTTTAGACAGGCCTGTGAGTGGTAGCATGTTGTGTTCTTATTTATTTACAGGGCTTAGTATCCAAGGGACATGCTGTATAGCCATTTATCAAAACTGGGGCTTGAGTTTGACTCTGGTTTAAGTTTTCCATGATCTGCTCACAATATTTCTTCCTTTAGGCAGTTCTTCCATCTGGCCGATCCCAAGTTAATGTTCATGTAATTCATCATTTTTAGAAGCTACCTCCCAACATGTTGGGCCCAGCTCAACCAGTCACAGCTTTTTATGAGACATCATTCAACTGTCTTAGCATCTCAGAAGGAAGAACTCCACAATTATCTTTTATGGAAAGACTTTGAACACACATTTTGAAGTTGCATGCCCAGGACTTTATGTGCAGAAGAATCAAGGTATCGTATTAACCAATGTCCTTGGCAAGTCCCTAGGACTAAATTTCAAGCTACAAGATGTTTACTGTTCATCTCAAAGGTCAGCTTTGACCGCATTTATTAAATTGCAAACTTGCTTGTCTTTTGTCATCAGAAGATGGTATGAATTAAGGCTTTCTTGCTCTGGTCACAGTGCAGATGAGAGCTGAAAAACAGCTAAAGGAATTGAAGTGACCGAGAACATTGAACCAAAAAAACATAATAAACACTCATTGCTCTTGGGAGTCCCCACACTATTTGAGACAACACAGAAATGTACTATTTTTTTAAATATAAGGTGGACTAAGTATCAACCCCTTCCTTAAAATAAATAAAGCTGTAAGAAGATAACCTCCCACACCACTGAGCTTGCCTCCTCCAGTTCCCACCATCCCGATCTGTTCTTATCACTTTTGCAATCAAACAGTTTCAATGGGTTTTCACTGCCTTGGTTACCAAGTTCGAATGCCTTAAAAGATGTGCAAAGCCTCCATCTAGCCCCATCTCCTGCTATTCTTCAAGCTCCCATTTTATCACCAAATAAATAATGAGTTAATTTTCTATTACATGCTATGTATCTAGTCACAAACCTAAGCTTTTTGCAAATACTGCTTCTTTGGCCTGAAATGACCTCCCCTACTTACCTAAATAATGGCATCACCTTTCATGATTTAGCTTAAATATTGAAACTCTTGGGAAGGGTGAATTTCATGGTAAGTGAATTATATTTTAATAAACACCTTATTCAAATTGACAAAACCTTGAGAACTCTTTTCTAACAAATTCTCCTCTCTTACCTAACTCTACCACACACAGATACCTGCAAGCAGATATCAACACACACACACACGCGCGCGTGCGCGCACACACGATACCAGGTTAGAGACCCATACTTATATACCTTATATAATAGCTTATATACCATAGCTTATATACCTATCTATCTCCTGTATTTATGGAGTTACTTGTTTATTTTCCATCTAGATTTGGGGTCTCCAATATGGTAGCCATTAATGACATGAGGATGTTGAGCACTTGAAATGTGGTTCAAACTGAGATGTCCTGGAAAGGTAACAATCACACAGTACAGAGTCTTGTTATAAAAAGAAATTGTAAAATGTCTTATTCATAACTGTGTAATGATTACATGTTGAAATTAAAATATTGTGGATACATTGGTCAAATAAAAAGACTAGAATTAATTTCATCCCTTTTTTTAAGCCTGTTTAAATGCATCTACTTGAAAATTTAAAATGATGTTTGTGGCTCACATTATCTCATTTGGACAGCACTGATCTAGACTGTGAGCTCCCTGAAGGTAGGAATATGTCCTGTTGGTCTCTGCAAGAATCGGGCCCATGGTAGGCACTCAAGAATACATCTCTGCATAAGGTGAGTGAATGAATATAATTAAGTCCCAAACCGAGAACACTGAGACCACGGGGGAGAAGACATGCAAGGCAATCTGTACAAAGGAGGGAAGACTTAAGCCTTGAAGCTGGGAGGGATTTCAGTAATACAGAAGAGATTGTAGGGTGACTTTCCCAAGTCACTTCCTCCTTCCGAACTTAGGTTTCCCATATAAAAATAAAAGGGCAGGGCAAAATGGGCTTTGATGCCAGTCCATTAAGAATCTGTGATAAAGATGGTATCCACCAACTAATGTGACCACTCCAGTTGGATTGCACATTGCCAATTAACTCCCTATGTGTGTAGAGGGTCCAGGCATGCCTGGGGTTTCTTTTAAGAATTTTCATATACTTGTGTGTTTTGTGCCTGTCTCAGTCGATCAGTAACCAATGTTGAAGTTGGACAGGCCTTTGTGGTTCTTATTATGATTGTAGGATGCCCTTCAGCAGTAACCACCGTGAAACTTTGAAAAAATAGTGGTGTGGAGTGTTGTGCCGGAGGGGTGCGGGGTAGAGTAAGGGCCTGGGGTTCTGTTTTTATTGGGGTCAAGGCTGGAGGCCTAGGGTTTCAGGGCTCATTCTTTATTGGTGAATTTAAAACATAAAAGCGGGAATTTAAAGCATGAGAGAAAAAAAAAAAAAACAAACAAGTAGCCCAAATGAGCTCTAAAGCAATAGAACCTGGGGGGGGGGGGGGCAGGTGACCGGACTGTTTATCTAGTCCTGTGGCTGGCAGAGGTTTACTTGAGGTAGCCTGCTTTGAAGTGGATGCCTCTTTGAAGTGGATGCCTCAGCAATCAAAGCTTAAGTCGGGCCTTACATTCCAAAGAAGGGAAAACCCAACTGTCGGGGCTCACGCTACAGAGTGGTTGGTTCAGCTGATGAGCTGGACAGATCAACCTAAGGTCTGCTCTACCTGAAACATCATGTCCATGGTCTCAATTCACGAAAGGCTCTGTAAGCTGTTCTTTGTGCTTCTGGTTAGGCCTTCAGTGGACATCTGACCCAAGGCAGCCACTGACAGATGACCTAGAGGTAATGTATTCTAAATAATCCATTCAGACAGACTACCTCTAACATTCAGATCTGAAAGTACAACAGAAAAATAGGATAGCTATTTGCAAAAGAAATCTCGCCCAACCATAAATATAAGTATATATAAATGTATATGACATGTGTTATAAAAACAGTACTATTATTTAGTGGCCTTGACTAAAAGTTTGCGCTGTGTTAGGCTGTGCGTGCTCTTTGCATTGTCTCAGTCAGACTCCGCAAGAACAAAGTCTGGACTGTTGTTTTACACTCATCGTTGACATGATTGGCTCAGGAAGTGGAAGCAACTTCGCCAAGTAGTAGAGGAAGAATTAGAACCTGCGTCTGTTTTGTCTTTGCCACGATGTGATGCTCTCTTTAGTGTCCCCGGGTGTAAATCTGGTCCATGCTGTCCTGCTGCTGACTTGATAAATTGATCCTTCAGGGGGAAATGACATACACACAAAAACCTCCAACTCATTTGAGAAAACAGAAGCTTGGAACCCTGAGTTTCTGCTGAGTATCACCCTCAGCACGTAATTGGAACTAGCACTGTGGTCCCATGAATGCCAGCCCTGTCATCCACGTGTCCTCATGAAGCCAGCTCTTCAAGGATCACCTGAGGTCTGACCCTTATTATAAGAAGGAGCCTCTCTGCTCAGCCCTTCAGGCTGGCTGAAACAGCCCCTTCTCCCTGAGATCCAGCAAATTTATCTCAACCTTTATTTTTCATTTTGATGGCCTCATACAGACTGACTTTTGTGAATTGACACAGATAAAAGAAAACAAAAACCTGGTTCTGAACCACATGTCTGAGTCTGTAAACCAGACCCTTTCCCGAATGTGTGGAAAATATAACTGCCGGTTTTTTCCTTCCTCTTAGACTGTTAGTACAAGGTCCTTCTTTTAGAACGGGCAGGAGTCTATGGGGAGCTTTCGTTTTTTCTCCCTGACTCTACTTTTTTTCCAGATTATAATTTATATCTGAAAACATTTCCTATGGTTTAGAGATATTTTTAGAAGTAGGAGGGTGGCCTCAGGCAAAATATGAAATACTCTGAGTTTTTTTAGAAAATGGAAGTTTTTTAGAAACTTCCAACTTCTCAGTTTCTATCCTTAGATTCCAATCTGGATCTTGCCCTCCCTCTTGCCCTTCCCACTATCCCAGCAAGTTATCCTTGTCCCCTGCTTAATTCTCTCGGGAAAGGATAGAATAGGAGCTGGCAACTCTGATATCTGTCATTGATAAGTCACCTCCTTCCAGAGATCACAATTTCATTCTCACGGAAGGCTTTTGCGCCTTAAATCAGAGAAACAGCAATTTCCAGGTTGAGAGTGCCGGGAGGAAGACGTTTTCCCCTACCCTTTTAGCTTCTTCTGGCTGGCCTAAGAATTAAATTGACGTGAGGCAAAATTAACAGCAGAAAGTCACACAAAAGTTTAATCACATGTATAGGCAGCAGAGACCCAGAAGAATGGAGTACTTGCCAAACGTCTGAAACCCTCACCTTAAATACCATCTTCAGCTAAAGACAAAAGGGGATGTTGGGGGTAAAGGTTTGGGACTTCAAAGGGGAGGAAGGCTATTCACATGGAGATGGATAAGTAAATGCTTGGTAAATGAATGTTTGCTGGGTCCGTGCAGAGACAATGGGACGCAGAGAGGAATGTTAACAAACAGGCTTTGCAAGGGTCCTCCCTGTCTCCCCACCTAGTTCACACTACACTTATCCACGGGAATAGTTCCCTTCCTGGAACAGGTCCCCGATCCACATTCTTTAGGCAGCTAGGGGGAGGTAAAAAGAAAGACTTCCGTTTCTTAAAAACAATCAGCCTGAATTAACCCTCATGCCACAGAGACACATTTTGGGGTGGAAAATTTTGTTCCCCTACAAGACTGTCATGTGTGGATTGTACACTTGGGAAGGAGGGAGGAGGGGTGGCACTGCAGTGTTATTTTATAGGCAGCTTCCTACCTCATCTGTAAGCACAGAAAGGCAGAGGAGACCCTTATCGTATATCTCTATCAGAAGGTGGGATTTTAGCGCTGAGGAGATCTTAGGTCAATGCTCTAGTTAATCTGTAATGTTCATTATACAACACCCCTGACAAAGGACCATCAAGCCTCTATTGGTATACCTCTGGTAGTGGGGAGCTCACTTCTTTAGGAAGCTTGCTGTTATTATCTTGTGCTTCTCACCCTGAAGCACATTCTTAGAGTCCATTGAGTGCTAGGAGGATCTCAAGTCCTTTGGAGAAATCCAGTGCTGCGTGTTTGCCCGTCAGACCGATCATCCTACAGGCCAAGGTCATCACGTCTGGTGCAAAACTAAATAGTGCAAAGGCAATATGGGGTTCACAGGTATTTTCACCCACACTTGGTAGGAGGAGAGGGGATTTTGGAGATCTGGTTTCGGTAACCAAGCAAACAGCTTGTTTGCCTGTGGCACAGAAAGCCCAACTCAGACAGCAGGAGTTTGCAGCAAGGTAAGGATTTATTGCGGGGCACCCAGCAAGGGAGCAGACGACAAGCCTCAGATGCACTCCAACCTGGCCTTTGAGTTCATTTTTTTTTTAAGGGGAAGAACAAAGAGGCTGGGATTAATCATCGTTTCGTGACATTTCTGTGATATTTCTTATCGGGAGTCAGGGTGTCTCTGGTCTAGAATTCTCTGGCCAGGTGGTCCACAGCTTGGGGGTCTGTGAGCTCATCGTGCCCTAGAGAAACCACCTGAGTTTCAACAGTAATGATGATACGACAACAGCGATCTTAGTCGTCTGACTCTGGCTGGTAAGTATTCAGTTAGCACAGGATTGAGGTCAGAGGAACAAAGTTTTGGACAGAGAGATTTAATCATAAACTTGGTAAGGGAACTCGGTTTTAGGGGGACTCTTAAAGGGGGACAGTTTCATTTCAAAGACAGTTCCAAAACAAAATTACTACAATTTATGTCAAAGAGTGTTCTGCCTATGCTCTCTTTGAGGATTTTTGTGGTTTCAGGTCTTACATTTTGGTCCTCAATCTATTTTGAGTTTATTTTTGTGATGGTGTTGGGGAGTGTTCTAATCTCATTCTTTTACATGTAGCTGTCCAGTTTTCCCAGCACCACTTAGTGAAGAGACTGTCTTTTCTCCCTTGCATATTCTTGCCTCCTTTGTCATAGATTAATTGACCACAGTTGTGTGGTGTCTCTGAAGCAAAAGAAACAAGCAAAAATAAGCAAATGGGACCTAATTAAACTTAACAGCTTTCGCACAGCAAAGGAGAACATCGTCACAATGAAAAGACAACCTACTGAATGGAGAAAATATTTGCAAATGATATGATTGACAAAGGGTTAATATCCAAAATATATAAACAGCTCATACAACTCAATATCAAAAAAAAACAAACAACCCAATCAAAAAATGGGCAGAATACCTGAATAGACATTTTTCCAAAGAAGACACACAGTTGGCTAACAGGCCCATGAAAAGATGCTCAATATCACTAAGTACTAGAAAAATGCAAATCAAAACAACAGTGAGGTGTCACCTCACATCTGTCAGTTGACTGTCACCAAAAAGCCTACAAGAAATGTTGGACAGGATGTAGACAAAAGGGAACTCTTTCACACTGTTGGTGGGAATGTAAATTGGTGCAGCCACTATGGAAAACAGGATGGAGGGTCCTCAGAAAAGTAAGACTAGAGCTACCATATGACCCAGCACTTCTATTCCTAGAATATATATCTGGAAAAAATGAAAAC